TATATATATAGATATATATATTAAATAGTAGTAGGGAGATATGTCTTATAAGCACAATGTTGTGTTGGTCTGTCACATAAAGTTCCAATAGAATACACACACTTTTGTGGTTGTAATTTGAAAATATGGTGAAAATGTTAAAGAGTCATATATATACCCATAGCCCATCTGTATATACATCAACTTAATAATTTCATCAAAGTTCAAAAGCCAGATGAAAACCTAAAATGCATTTGTTTATTAATGCATTTTAGGTTTTCATAAGATTCTAGATTTCCCAAATGTGTTCATGGTTGTTTAGTGTTATGTTGATAGACTGAAACTTTTTGCATGTGTGTCATTAAACTCATAATATTGCTTTAGTGTGGAAAACAAACACATGAATGCATTGTTAAACATGTTTATTGGTCATATACAAAATAAAGTAAGCTGTTTATCAACAAACGTACAATATATACATGAATAATTTAAAAGATGCTTGGACTGATGAGGAAACAGTTCATTTTCATAATTACCAATACCTTGTTATCATATCTATCTACAAATTGCAAAAGAAAAAAAAAGTAGTACAATAATTTAGTCAGAGATAAATACTCACATTTGAAGGTTTTCCTATAGAAAGTACTGTTGTTCCTTAGAATAATTTATGACATCCCATACAGAAATGTTACAAAACACAGAGCTTTTCTGAATACGTCACACTTATTCACTCACTACTTCTGTATAGTTTTACTGTTACCACCGCATAACACAGAGCTTTTCTGAATACGTCACACTTATTCACTCACTACTTCTGTATAGTTTTACTGTTACCACCGCATACTTTTAGAGACATTGAAACGTCCTAGCTCCAATAACCGACCTCGCTTAACTAGTAAATGGGTGATAAATGGGAAAAGAAGCTGATATCAAGAGTAAAACAAAAAGTGTTTTACAACTGCTGAAGTTGGGCAGCAGGGAGGAAGACACAGCTGCAGATGAGGTAAGTTAGGAGGCTAAACAAACATCGTTATTGATGAAAACGCCAAACAAGCGATCAAAGGAATCCTTGGTTCATTTACTTTTATCGATCTGGATCTGCATTGGGTGAAAGGGCTTTTAAAGTCCGGTGGCGTGATTCACTAGACAGAAAAAACCCCATCTGAATGAGTGCACACTGATTGGCCAAGCAGCAAGATAAGGAGTTAATGGTTCCAGAAGGAATGGGTGTTTTTTGAGGAAGGGCTTAGTTTGCGGCCTAGTTGACTCAGGGAGCCATTTTTGAGAGGAGGACAGAGAGGGTTAGGAGTTTTTATCAGATGTGTCTCCACCGCCTCTTCTCAGCATCTGTAAATTATTTATGGGTTCAAGTATGAGCGGTTTCTCTGGTTAGTGATGAAATGCCTTATCGTAAGAGGGTTATGACCTCTGTACAAGCAGCGGGAAATAAGGTTTGCATGCCTTACAGCTCATAAACGGCATCATGAAAAGCCACCAAGCTTCCTGCTCTGCTCGGACTGAAGGTCAGAGCCGTCAGCTGATGGTATCTGCTGAGGAAAAATCTGGATTAAACCTTTGTAATGTTTAACCTCTCTGGTTAAATGGGACACACACTGCTCACTAAAAATCCACATGTGGAGGGCAAACACTCCCTACGGAGGTTGCAGGAGAGCAAAAGTATATTTTTATTGGCGCCAAAGGTAAAGATGTGTAAGAAGCCGAAATATTAGTGACAGTCACAGCATATTAACTGGATTTAAATATAGAATTAAACTAGGCCACTTGAAAACCTTTTTTTGTTTTGTTTTTTCAGCCCCTCAGCTGGTGTCTGAGTCATTATTATGCTGTATAACCCTGGTGTACTTGGCTTTGGTGTCAAAGACTTTGTCTCATCTGTTCTTAAAGGGGTTCATACATTGGAGCGTTTCATTCTGCCTTTAGAGATTCTTTAACCCACTTCAGTTTCACTGTTGGGTTTATTTAAATGGTTTTTAGCTTTTAAAATACCACAGTAAGTACGTTTAAGTTAAATCTCTGACTGTACCTGTGACAGGAATCTGTTCTCTGGAGATTATTTTCTGACTCATTACCAGCACTGATCTTACATATTGGATCAGTATGCTTTCTTGTTTTTTTTTTCATTTGGAAGAATGAGTAACCAATATTTTTCTATATCACACTTCCCAAGGACATTGCAAGCCATTAATTACAAGACGAAATTTCATAAAATTGCTATATATATATATATATATATATATATATATATATATATATATATATATATATATATATATAAATATATATATATATATATATATATAATTATTCTTTTTATAGGAATTATATAGCTTGTAGTAGTGACCTTGTTGCTAAAGTAAAAACATCTTTATCCCTCTGCCCCTCATCAATTCAACTGATTTAAAAAAGGGAAATTAAATACTGCAGTAACTTACAGTTTTTTTTTTTTTTTTTTAATCGAATTGTTGTAGGTGTTGATAGCTGTAGGCAGAATCTTCTGTGTTGGTCTTTCTCAACGTACATTAACCTAAGTTGGGTCTGTTTTGTTTTTTTTAATACATCTTTACCAGTGGTGCCTGTAAGTCACATGTTAGAAGTTTATTTTATATCCTCCCCTCATTTTGGAAACTAATTAAAGAGATTTATCATTTCAGACGTCACAGTTAACTTTCAAGGAAAACTATGTAAAAGCTAAAAGACTCGAAGCCATAACTAGACGGAGACAAAGCTGCATCACTTTTCATTAACGTGTATAAAATGCTTTAACCTCATCACATCACGTTGCACCTGCAATTAAAAAACAAACAACCTGACAACCAAACACAGATAGCATCACTCCTCCAGTGAGGCAGGACTCTTAATTTTACCCAACATATTTTACATAATAAATATGTCGGTTTAACACATTTGTGCTTTCACAGATTGGATCCTATGCAAGCTGTGGAGAGCACAGAGTAGGATGAAACACTGTTTAACAGAGGCACTGACAGCAGTGGGTCAAAAAAGTTTAACTGAAAAAAAAGAAAGAAAACAGGTTAAAAAAATAAAAGTGTGTCATATGGGTAGGCTTTAACATGCAAACATATAATTCTGCATAATATGCTAACTTTCTCTCACTGTTGATTTCAAAATTATTTGATAATTTACAAGGTTGAGGACCAATTTACTGATCAGACCAACTTTACTTCAAAGAGGAGTAAAAGTTCAGCTAATTCTGTCCTTTGCTTGGCTGGTTGAAATCAAAGGGGGTGAGAGAAAGTATTTTTTCTTTCTGTTCATTAAAAGCATCATAAAAGCTAATCCCCACCTTTCTGGAGGTTCATAAATAAACTAAAAATCAGCCTTTTTTAATGTAATTTTTGGCTTTTAGTTCAGATAAATCAGATAAGGCTTAGGGACAACTGCTTTGATACGTGAATGAAACTTAACCTTTAGTTTTCTTGAATTTGAAAGAATACATTGTTACAGTTCTAACAAAACAAAAAAAGAAACCCTCCTATTGTAAAAAGACACACATCAAATAAACAAAATCTGCATAATTCTGAACTGGCAATCCGCACTGATTTCTCTGAAAATCGGTATTGGCCACCAAAGCCTGATTAGTGCATTAGCATCTCTCACATGCTTTTGTTTAGCAGAGAAAGTTAAGAACAAAGGCTTTGGTTCATGAACTAAAATAATTTATAAATCAATTAATTTACCTTTTTGTCTATTAACCCTATATGAGGTGTTTTTTTCTGCAATACAGTGCTTGTAAAAAAAAAAATAAATAAATAAATAAAAATAAAAAAAACTAAAAACCTCCACTGAGCGAGTCGGACCACAAAGATAATCGGAAACTGGTATTTGCAATTAAAACCCTGATTTGTGCATCTTTAACATTAATGGTTTAAACCTAATGAATTGTTTGCATTTCATGAAAACAAATGTTTAAAACCAGGTTATAAATGCTTGGGATTATCGTACTAAGAAAAAAGGTCAACCTTACCCAGATAGACAAACCATGAAATAGCAGAATATAGTCTTTCCACTTTATAAAACACCGTATACAGTTACAAATATCATTAAACGTCCCTGACACTTCCAGAAGAGCTCAAAAACTAACACAACAACAACATTAAATATACATAAAATATACAGAGAAAAACAGAGTGCCTTAAACACACAGTAGAAAAATAAGTTACTGAAGGAGTGGAGAAGATGCAGCCACAAAGCCCCAATCACAGAGTTTCACTTTTCTGCTATCTTATCAAGATAACTCGAAGAGACAAGATTATTGAGCCCCGTCTGTAATTTGATCCCCAAAGCAACAGGACCTGCAGATCAGCACTGGCAGAGAAAGTAATTCCGTATCAGCCCGCTCTGAAATTTGTTAAAAAAGCAAAAATGTTCAAATTCACTCCTTGCAAGTGTAGCTTAACAAATTACCTCACCAGGCCACAAAGATGACTAGATTAGAAAAAGAGTGCAGATACGCATTATTTCATCATCCACCATGGGCTGAAATGTTAAACAGATCCAAATCATAACCAGAAAATAGCTAATAATCACCTCGTTACATACCTATACAGCATACCAAACGCTAGTTCACTGTTACGCACACCTGCCTATTTACTAAAGAAAAAAAACAAAACAAAAAAACAAAGCTATTCAGTAGTTAAGCCACTTTTGGTACAATTGCAAAATAGAGAGATTACTGTATATCAAACGGATCTTGTGATACTTACAAACAATGCAAAGATAATTGTCTTTATAAAATTACAGACTCCACTATACACAGACTCTTCGAGTATAGAACACCACAGAGGACTACTTTTAAGTAAAAGCCGGGGAGGAAAAAACAAAACAAAACAAAACCTTTTAGATTCTCTGGAAATTTCTTTTCAGTTTTCTTTATAGTTAATAAGGAGTATTATTAATCTGGGAGTCTAGGAGTCTTATTGTTCTGAGTCTGATAGCTACAGCAAAGCTTCATCAATGCACAACAAACTCCGGAGCCGGCCACAATTATTGCTATCCCTGGTAATGGTGCGTCAACCTGTTCACCTAGGGACGAACAGATGGGGGCATATTTTAAGATGCATCTAAATATTTTCTTTTCTTTTACTGAATGGTTGTTCAAGTTGTTTACTGAACTTTTGAGTTTGAGATTATGCATATTTCAAGAAATAAGAAAGGGTTATAGTTTTTCTTTTTTCATGACCTGTTTATAGTTTTTACACGTCTTTACCAGGGGTTAGCAAAAATGTGTCCAGCAATGAATGATGCTCAGCTTTACATCGGCATCCTCCTTCAGCTCCTCTTGGTGCATATCATTTTGAAACCAAGGCACTTGGCCTTCCAAATTCTGGAAACTCTCACACATCAAGGTAACTTGGTTATTTTCTTTTTTAACTGATAGGGTATCTTGCATTTTCCTTATTTCAATTTAAGCTAAATATGGACTTGTAATTGACAAATCCCCTCATCAAAGAGGATTTCTACGTAATACTGGAAGATTTCTGCGATTGAAAAACAATTCAAACTGGAGGGCCAGGAGGAACAGTTGGAAAAAAAAAGAAGGGTTGGACATTAAAAGTGAAAGACCACAGAAAATAACACAACTAACTAAACATAGCGATACCAGAACAAACACTCGCCACAGAATTTCACAGAATTCCTGATATATAACATTTCACACACAGAGAATACACCTTGGACCTCATGTGAATGACGACACAGTACAAAACAGTAGAAATACAGTTACCACCATTGTATAATATAGATTCCTCTATTAGTACTTTTCTGAAAAAGTTCTTGGGTGAAACAAGACTGAGCTTCAGTGCAGTCTATAATCAGCAGGTCACTTGTTTCTTTGTAATACATAGCTGTTGTATAACTTGGTGCTCTGAGTACCGATTTATGAGTTGAAGAGGCACCAAATCAAAACTGCAAGACATTTGAACTGACCAGATTTTTAATCAAGTCTAATTGGTAATCTAGTGGATAAACATTACATTTTTTCCCCTGTTCCATTAAGAGCATCCGGCAATGACTCCTGTTGCTTTTTTATATAAATGTATTATTCTGTTGTATGTACTTTGATGCACTTTTTGGGTTTTTATAACAGTCGGACAAAGTTAGATGCACGCGATGCACAAATAAAGAGTCATCTTTGTTGGATAAGAAAAAAGAATGGATTAATTGTATGGCCATTTTGTGACCAGTTTGTGCATCCATACAGTAATTTAAGTTCAACATTTCATTAAACCCAACACAATGTCCAAAGGTTCTTTTTCAGGTTTTCTAAAATAAATACTGGAGATTTAACAAGTGACCTTAAATAAAATTTTCCAATTCTCTGACATTTGCTTCCACATATTAGCCAAGGGACCCAGTCTGCTCTAGATGATCACGCTCTGACCAGAAGCCTCTTTGTGAGCCTCCTCTGCTTCCATCCTGTCCTTCATCTGCACTAATCTGAGACGGATGATGGGAACACGCTGGGGTGGTCCGTGTGACACCGCCCAGCTGCTGGGTGTCTGTGCAGGTGGAGGAGAGGGGAGGGACAGAGAAGGAGGCTTGCTCTGATGCAGCTGAGCTCCATCCTGTTAAACCCTTGTTTAGCTTTCTCTCCCTCAAGACCGTGCGTCTGTCTTTGACTTGACTATCGTGATCACGCTCGTCGCCGTCGCCACCTTCCCAGGTATGAGCGGGCTGATGACCGACGACGGCACCCCTCCTCCTCCCCCCCCACCTGCCCTGACCCCCACCCCGACGTTAGGGCTTCGTGCCACAGTCCTGGCGAAGGTCTGCAAGGCTTCATACTTGGACCGGAGAGCGTCAAGCTCGACGCGCATGGAAGCATTCTCATTGGCCAGTTTGTCCACCTCCTGCTGCAGCTGGGCCTTCTGCTTCTCTAGCTCCTCCTTCTGGGTGACCCGTTTGACCCGGCAGCTGGCGGCGTAGCCTCGGTTCTTGAGGGTGCGCCTCCTCTGTTTAAGCTGCAGGATCTCTTCTTTGGAGAGCCCCCGGAGGTGCTGGTTCAACTCCCGTACAGACATGGTCACCAGCTCCTCGTCAGTGAGGCTGGTGCCATTTTCCCCCGGCTCACGCTTCACCTGGAGGAAACACAAGAGAGGAGGGCGATAAATCATACCGGATCAAACCAAATACAAAACTGAAAATTGGGTTGAAAAAAAAAAAAAAATCACATAAAAACGTACTTTCATTTACCTTTAAGGCTTTATTTCCTTTGTTAGTCGTCGTCATGCCACAAGAGCCGTGCTCTTCTGCGCAAACCTTTGGAGAACACCGGAGAGAATAAAGCGTGAGCAAAGAAGCCTAAGAGAGAAGAAACCAAATAATGAAAATCTGACACTATCCATGTAAAACAGTGATGTACCACATGGTAATACCGACCAGAGAATAGGGAGATATGAAGCTAAATCTACCATTCTGGCCCTTCTGTGGGAGCATGTTACACATTTTAGCATCTGTATAAGACTGCATGAGTGAAAGTGACAAACGCTTCTTAGAATTTCCCTGACTTCCTGTTTCCTTGTGGTTTCACTCAGTGCCCACTACCTTTATACTCTCAAGCTCTCATTGGCTGGCTCGAGGCCAATAGCGATGAAATGAGCAAGAGAGAAGAGGAAGTGGTGAAATTTGTAGGAAGGACTCCTGAGGGAAGCTAACTGTTAATATCCTGTTTAAATATAAAGACAGACCCTTCCACAGATAAGAAGCTCACCGAACAGAGAGCCTCACTAAGGTTTTATAACCATCAAACCTAATTGCATAAAGTTGCATTAGAGCAACCAACCTCAATGTTTCTCACTGAGATTTTATGTAAAAGAGCAACGTACGTCAGTCCATCATTGTGAAACAGACTGTTATTGATATCCAGCTTTTCAATTCTTCAATTGTTTCTTTCTAAACGGTGCCATAGATCTACATTAAACCTTTCAAAGTCTAAGAGAAACACTTAGCAGTTACAAGTTTAGAGAATTGTCACATTTTTCTTCGCTAAATCGCTCACGCTCAGGTAGACTGGAGGGAAAGCATCTGTGAGGAATGAATTTTCGGATCTAGTTCTAGACTTTGACTGGACCATTTCATCACATGAAAATGCCTTAATCTAAACCAGGGGTCTAAAGCTTCGGCCCCAAAGAGCCACTATGCTGCACCTTTTGGACATATCCCTGCCCCAACACAAATGACTCAAAGTTAACAATAAGGCCTTTGGAAAACATGCTGGTATATCAAGCAGGCAATCCAGTATTTTGATTTATGTGTATTGCAACATGACTTTATTCAGAAGTTGCAGGCCAGCGGTGGGACAGTAGGTTGGAGTTTTAGATCACTGATATTACCCATTCAGTTGTGGCTTTGGCTGCATACTTAGGGTTATTCTCCTGTTGAAAGGGGAACTTCCACCTCAACCTAGGGCTGGACTATATGGCCAAAACTTATACTATAATACATTTCTTAATCTCAGTTGATACAATTTCAATGTACTAACTTATGGCAATTAGTCTGCAAAGCTTAAAAGAAATCCTATTTGTATAAAAAAAAAAAAAATAAATACATAAAGCTAGATAAAACCAATATTGTCATTTATTGACAAATGCTTTTATTTATTGACTGTAATGTATATTGAAACATCACCAAAGTGTTTACATTTCATATCACCAATATTGAATTAAATATTGCCATATATATTGATATCAAAATATTGTCTGGCCCAACTTCGACCTAAAGTCATTTGTTTCCAAGGGGTTTTTCTAATTGTCCTTCATTTATCTTTATGCATCTTAATCTCCAATAAACCAGGTTCACCAACCCGAGTGGTGGATCTCTGCAGCTCCTTCAGAGATGCTTCTCTGAAGTTTGACAGCACAGTCGTGCCATCCTCTTTCCATTTTTTTTAGGTGAAGGTAAGAACAGAGCTCTATGAGATGTTAAACCATTTAAAGTTGTTTTATATTATTTAACTCTTCCATTTTCTACAACCCTCTCTGCATCTGTCTGCTGTACTTTCTGGTTGCTATTAATTTGCTAATGTTCAACAACTAACCTATTTGTCCTTACAGATTAGCTGGAGTCATTACTGGGATAAGATACAAATGCATAATACACTTTTCAGATTTGTTGTTTGTAAAACAGAAAAAACATGGATCATTTTCCTCCCATTTAACAATTAAACACTCATTAGTGTTGATCTCTCACATAAGATCTTAATAACATACATTTAAGCCTGTTATCGATAAAAAATAGAGAGAATTTGAAAAAAACAGTAAACTGAACTGCCACCAAATATGCTAGTCTCATACAACTCGGGCTTAGGTGCCTTGCCCAAGGGTACACCAATGTGAGACATGGGAAGCTGCAATTGAACCCACAGCCTGTTTGTTTGCAAGATGACTGCTTTATGTATTGAGTCAAAGTACAATGGCACCACATGAAATAAAGCATCTGCGTTTGTACCAAAAGTGCGAACAAGACACAAAAGGTTGGAGACGTGCAAGACGGAGAAGTGCGAATCAGAGGTCAACAAAGAGCGAGCGTGGAAGTGCAAAAGATGAGATCAGAGCTCAGAGCTGCTCTGATGAGCGTCTCCACAGGCTCTCAATGACAAGCTTTGTGTGTGTGTCGGCCTCCTCTCATCTCTCAGACCTCAGTTTGTGTGCCTGAAATAAAGAGAGGCTATTGTTGCTGCTGCTGAGGGATCATCATGAGACTAGTCATGATGACTCAGCAGATTGCTGATCTCAGCCTCCCCTTTCTCCCTCCCTCCCCAACCAACCTGCCCCTTATCCCCTCTCCCATCCTGCCACACCGCTCTCCTCTAACATTCTGGTTGGCTTCATTCTCCCACCCTCTGTTTTTCTGATGAGTGTTTAACACTTTTTTATGAAATCAGAAAAGTTGGCCTAATCAGCATACAAGCTATGGAAAGAGGAGGAGTAGGGAGTCTGACTGCAACCTGAAGCTTTATAAAGCACCAGGAAGATATGCCTGCACTGGTTACAGATATCAGGGTAAAAACCAAAGGTCTTTAAAGCCATAAAACGTTACATCATATTGCTGTCAAGGTTTACCATTTTTCAAATGGATTCCCAGAGAGCAGTCTGCAACCGTCTGAGTTTTTAAACAGCTGTGTAGAGCTTAGGCGTAGAGTAAAAAAGTGTCACCCCTCCCTGACTTATTGCTGCTTAATGCCCATGAGGTGGCTTGCTCTTTTCCCATCCTTACAAGAAGGCAAGATCATATATTTTTAAATATATTTCTGCAAAAAAAAGCAGTCTTTTGTAAACCAAAGAAGATAACCTAAAGGCAGTGGTGTCCAAAGTACACACACTTGTTACTTAAGTAGAAGTATAGATACTGTGGTTTAAAAACACTCTTGTAAAAGTTTAAGTATCAACTTGACCTCTTCACTCAAGTAAAAGTGAAAAAGTATGTGCTCCTATAACTATAAAGTAACCTTTAAAAAAAAAAAACAGCCAAATGCCAACATATGAATTTAAAGTTACATTTTTCGACTATTTCTAAAAATCCTTTGAGATAGAGCCAAGGATGAGGGAGGTCTTGTTGGTCTCCGTCTCCATCTCCCGATACGCTCTCGCCTGTGTCCGACCTTTCAGACATTTCAACATCTTTTTCTGAATCCGACATTGTAGCATGACATAGGTATGATTTCCTTTGGCGTCAGCACAAATTTGATGAATAGCTAACCAATGCGTGTTTGCGTTATATGACTCATCCAATTACACTAGTTTTCACTAGATGTGGATGCGGCATATGACGTGAAATAAATATTTATGTAAGGAATAGGAAGTAGAGATACTTTTGTGAAATGTAATGAGTAGAAGTCAGAAGTAGGAAGAAAAATAAGTAATGGAGTAAAGTATAGATACCTAAAAAGTGTACTGAATACAGTAACAAAGTATTTTTACTTCGTTACTTGATATCTCTGCCTAAAGGTGATGGGTGAATGACGCATCTTTTTAAGGATTAGTTCATGTTGTTGCTGTTGCATGTTGAATCGAGCTGAGAAGAGAGGTAAAAGCTAAAATAAAAAAAATTTTTTGTCAAATATCTGTATTAAGATGTCCACTGGACTGACGATGAAACTAGTATAAACTTTAGTGATGCAGATGTTTTTTGGATGAACAAACATATGCAATTGTTGTCATCTACTCTTGTGAAACAGTGGATGATTATTATCTGCTGCAACAGCATTGTATCCCACAGCAATAAACATTTCCATTTAGCATTGCTTTGAATGGCATCAATAAGATAAAATTTGTGGTTCATCTGATTAGCTGCTCTAAGGATCTGTCTGCTTCCAGGATTGGTTCACTTTTCTATAAACCTTTATGGCGATACATCTTTCTTCTACGGTTAAAGGGAAATCTGTACTGATAAGAAAACAGAATATTCCTTAAAAAACAAAATGTTTTTAATAGCCCTTTAGGTAGCTGACTGCAGCCTGGCTGCATGAGTATGGAGGACCTGGAGAGTCACTGAAAAAGAAAACCAGCCCCTTCAAAAGTAACATTTCAATTATGCAATTTAAAATCAAATTTAAAAACCATTATTTTATTTAAGAATCCATTACTAACTCCTGTAATTTGAAAATGTATTTTCAAATCCTATTTCTTAATGGAGATTTGAAAACCATAATTCTGAAATCTGATTACAAATATTCACACATTATAAAAGGTTATTCCTTATTCCATTATTTTTTTTTTCAACTTGCATTTTCAAATCCATTTTGAAATTTTCCTTTTCTTTATGCTTTACCTGCTCCATTTATGTTTTCCGTGACCCTTCTGATCCCTGAGCACACTGAGAACCAGTTCAACCAACCAGTCACTCCTCAGATGGAACCAGCTTTCTCATTGGTTAGAGTGCCACACTTAGTTCACAAAATACCCAATGAGGGAGCTGGTTACGTCTGAGGAGCAACTTTGATTGGTTTAACTGGTGTTCAGGTTGCTCAGGGACAAGAAGCATCATGGAAAAGCTAAATGGACTGGGTAAAGCATAAAGAAAATTCAATTTAAGAATTTCAAAATGGAAGGTGAAAAAGAAAATTGACTAAGAACAGCCTTTTTCAAAGTGTGATTAGGGAGTGTATTTATAATTGGATTTATGAATCTTGGTTTATAAATCTCCATTTAGAAATAGAATTTGAAAATACATTTTCAAATTAAAGTATCTAATAATAGATTAATAAATAAAACTTACACCTACTCTTTAATAATTAAATTTAAAAATTGCAATTCGAAAATGCTTTTTACATTTGATTTGAAATTGCATTATTTAAATGTTACAAATTTTGAAATGGATGGTTTTCCTTTATAGTGACTATCCAGGTCCTCCGTACATGAGAAGATAAATAAACCAGCCACTCTGTTAAGAACAGCTCTATAGAGAAGTATATTACGTAAGACACGCTAGTACTTGAACTTGATAAACTTGAAAATAAAAACATGTAAATTATTACAGCTGTGATAATCAATAGTTAATCAGCAGATATTGGTAGGAATAAAAGCAGCTTTTGTTTAGTAAACAAATAATGTTTTATATTTTTATATTTTGTGTTAAAACCATCCTAGTTATGATCTAATGTAATGCCAATCTCATATCAATCTGTAAATTAAGAGGAACAAAGTGTATAAATTGATAAACTGTTTAAAAATATATAACAGAAACAATAGTTATTGTTAAATAGAAAACCCCCAGCATAAGATTCCTCTATTTGTTTGTAAAGACAGTTAAACCGCTGGATTTCTCATCCCCTCCTATGCTAAATTAAAGATAAGAAAATAAAACAAGTTGTTTGCATTTATAAACAGAAAAAGTAGCTCCTCCTGCTCAAGGAAGTGATGATTTTTACATGACACTAGGCCACACATCTTGTTACATCTTTATTCTTTTGTATCAAAAAAGGCACGGCGTCAAGTGAGGCAGTGCACGCCTCCCCCACAATGCACCTCTGCCTGTCTGCAAGCGTGCCACAAATTCTACATTTATAAATAGCTGCAGATCAAAGAAAGAGCATGTAGCAGCTCATTAGGTGTGCACACCCAACATGTCAATGTGCAGCAACTGAAAAAATTCTGTTTATGACTCCTTGACATGTTTAAGGTTGGAGGTATAAAGCAAAGCCACGGGAGGCTTAATTCAATCCTCCTTCTTGATTCTAAGAGTTATGAAACAACACCTGAAATTCCTTTTAATGAGTTGGAATTAACTCAAGTTACACATGGTAACTCGTTTTCAACACCTAGAGGGGTTCCTCATGCGCTGCTAAGCT